GTTTTGATTGATGGTTTAAATGATATTTATATAAGGAATACTGTAATTTATAATTAGACCAAGTAATTATTACTAATAAACATTTTTATAAACATTCAAACTTATTTTCAATTGTGTACAGTTTAAGAATATATAGATTTTAACCTTCAAATACACAAATATCAACATCAAATTAAACAATCATGTATTATTTACAACACTATTTTAAATAAACAAAAAATAATATAATAAAATAATTATATTTATTTTAATATATAGTTTTCTTATAAAATCAATTAATAATAACAATATTAATAATATACCAAAAATTATTTCCAAACTGTTTGCTATTTATTTAAAAAAATAATAACATTAAAACAAATCGCTTATGATAATTCAAAATTAATATGAAAATTCTATTAAAAAATAACTACACTTATTTTATGGAGAAAACAACAAAACAACTAAATAATCCAGTGATATGAGTTCTGTTTTTCTTGAGAATTGTGTAATCAGTACTCGCGTTGGTGTATGCTGTTTCGGAGGAGTGTACTCAGGCACATACAACGGCACACAAGTTGCCTTCAAAGAACTTCGCAAAATGGCAGCAGACTCTGCAAAGCTTCCTAAGTTGTCAGCCCTTGTCCCAAAAGTGCAACAAATCATCCATCCAAATGTCGTACAATTATATGGTCTATACATACACGATAATAGCGTTTACACGGTCTACAAACGATATGACGGACCTCTTGAAAAGTTATTCCGCAATGGAAAGTCCTCCAATTATGGACTTAAAGAGCGAACACATTTTATTATTGATGTTGCAACAGGAATGGAGTACATCACATCTGCACAATCCGGAGATGGGACTTTATCACTAAGAAATCTTGGATACACGAAAGACAGTAACTCTGTAATAACAGTCATCATTGGCGGTCTTGACGTGTCGTACTTTGGTAAAGTCTACGACACAAGTCTTGTTCGATCTTTTGCACGTAAATGGACTTCTCCTGAAGTCGCGAAAGAGGGAGACAACCACTTGAAGTATAACGAAAAGAGTGACGTCTGGTCGTTTGGTGTGACGGCGTGGGAAATATTAAATGGCGGGAGAGTCCCGTTTGAGAACGTTTCAACAGGTGACATTCTTAAAAAAGTCGAAGAAGGCTTACGACTTGAAGAGCCAAAAATTACACAACTTTTTAAGGAAAACGGAGGCGAAAAATTGTGGAATATCATCGCGATGTGCTTTGAAACAGATCCTGAAAAAAGACCAACTTTCACTCAAATTAAAGAACAACTTCAAAATGTCTACAATGAGATGAAAGAAGACACAAAAGAAGACTTGAAAAATATTAAAGAGGCTGAAAAGGTTGATGAAGACGACGAAGAAGAAGAAGAAAACAATTATTAATTAAGCATTGATATTTCCTTATTTAAAAATATTTTACTTATTATTTTAAATAATTAAAATTAATAGGTATACGATTTCAATGTTGCAAAAGATAAAACATTGATTAAGTACTAAACTGTAGTTCAAAAGCCTGTACTGCAGTATTTTTAAAACTTCCTAAAGTCCCGTTTTTTATTTTTTATTTTTCCTAAAAAACAAAAAATCGAAAGTACAGACTTAATTTTGAAAAAAATACCAATACCGTTCAATTATTTTTGTACAATATCGGGAATTTATCGTAATATTAGCCAGCCTTTTCCAAAAACCCCGATCCCGTTATTTAATTTGATGTTAACTCGATACTACACAACATAAACTCAACGTTGTTGGTCAAATCATACAACGATAAACACGTTAATAAATTGGGATGTTGTTGTTTGTGTCAATTTGTAACTAAATATTAGTTTCGTTAGTTTTTCATTTTAATTAAAAACAAACATATGGTTTTGTTCTTTAAACAAAAGAAAATGAAAAAACGAGTTTTAAAGAAAAAATAAATAAGAGCAAACAATTAATAATTTTGTGTTTTGATATTTCAGTCATTGTTGTGACAACACCATCAGTATATCGATATTACGCGATACTTTCGCGCTTGTTATTTATTTTATTATTATAAATGAAGACTCAACTTCGAAAATTTTTGGCATTAAATTTATCAGCTTTTTATAATAAAATGCACTTTTGGGATCATTCACGTGTATTTCAAAAACAAAAATCTCGTTATTTCAAATTTTATATGGAATTTTTAATGCTTAAAAATTCTTCAAGTAAAAAATATTTTTTGAAGACTGTTTTTCTCTTTTTTTTCTTGGAAAAAATAAGCGAATTTATTACAAAAATGATTCCCAAAAATAATAAACAAAATAAATGCAAAAAATCGGGACACCCCAGTACAGACTTTTGAAAACTAGTTTAGATTAATTTAAAAATGTAGTTCTCATACAATAGATTATTGGCATTTAATTGTTTGTTACAATAAATTAATAAAACATCAATATAAAAATGGTACTTTTTTAATATAAAGACATATAAATGGATGAAACCCATCCACTGGACCTATGGACCTATTTTTTTCCTATCCACTGGACAAACCATTTTCCATGGATGGCAAAAATAAAACATATATTTTGATTTTTTATGATTATTTAATTTAATTTTGACGAATTTTTTTTCTAATGATAGTGGATTATTAATAATACTGAAATGTATACTATTTTCCAAAAATCGGAATTGGATTTTTTTTATCTTTAAAATAAAGGTTATTCGTTTAAAATTATACATATTCTGTTTTTTGGAATAATCTCAAAAAGAGTAAATAAAACCTAATTTACTCACAAAACATTTTTTATTACAAGTTTTTATTTTATGATAAATACCTATTTTAATTCAGAATGTTTTCAATAACGTAATAATTCCGAATTTAATTACCATTAAATAATTCATAATAATAGGGAGTTTTTAACAAGCAAAATGCGGGTATAAAAACAACGAATTTCAATCAATGTTGTTGATTGAAATGTTTTAAATTTGTAACAATAATTTAATTGTTTTAAAGATAATACATTATGATATTAACGTAAAATCAAAGGAAATGTTATAAATAATACCAATTCAATGAAATAAAACAACAATCATTATTTTTGTATTATAACCGAATTTTATAGAAAAATAATTCGTTGTTTTATTTGACTTTAGAAGTTTAATAACATTAAATCCTTTATTTTTTATCTCAATATTATCACAAACGAGGCTTGGTGTCATAGAAACACTTGATAAAATGTTGTTTGTTAAAGAGATAACACTCGAAAATATGAACTTGGTATTTTTGCAACAACTTATTCAAGAAGATCTATTCAAAGAGAAAATAAATAATATTGTCAATGATGAAGAACTTAAATTAATGGATGAGCACTTTTGTGACCCACTTTCACTTGATGATATATAATGTGATGTACGTATCGGTAGTTCGACTGTTATTACAACGTTTCAATTACCAGGAGGAATGAGGCTTGATAAAACCGAAAAAGATCATATTTCTGAAACATTAAAACTCTTATCAAATAAAATTTCAAATTTAGAAGTTAAAATTAAAGAAATAGAACACAATAAATAAATTCATTTTGTCTTTAAAAAAACAGTTGAAGAAAATGTTAAGTATTGTATTGACTGTGGTATAAAAAAACCAGCTGGCATTGTTAAAACGTTTCGTTCTTCAAATTTGCAAAGTCCTGGTATTGGGAGAATTTATTGATGTTTATCAGAGTATCCAGATATAAAACCAGCTAAAAGAGGACGTCCATCATTCTCGGATAACATGAAAGAAGTAATTAAAAATATCACAAATAAAAAATGTTGTGTAAGTTGCAAAAAATGTACTCAAATACTTAAAAATAAATTTAATATAAAAATGTCAACTACATCAGTTTATAGAATCCGGAAAAGTTTAAAATTTGGTTTTTATAAAACGAAAAAAAATGTATGTTTTTGACAAAGAGAAATGACGAACAAAGAAAAGCATTCGTAAAAGAGCAACTGCAAATTTTAGAAATTGAAAGAAATCACAACTTAAAACTAAAAAGGAAAAGAGGAAGAAAAGTGTTTTTTCTGATGAAAGTTGTTTTTGTTATAATAATGACAAAATTCCGAGAGTTTGGAAAACAAAAGGTACAACAAAAAAGATGTACCGTAAATCCGGAAATAAATGGTTCACCATTTCCAAAACAATTAAAAAAAACTAAAATTTCAAATTTGATTCTTTTTTAAAAAGATACTAAAATAATAACATTTTTAAATTCCCAAAAATGCAGAATGTGCTTTTTTGACTCAACACTTTTCAAAAAAAGACCAATAAACCACCAAAAGTATCTTTGAAAAATGTTATTTGGGTGTGTAATCCCCAGAACAATAATTCACTATTTAAGAACGCATGAAAAAGGTTTAATTATAAAGCCCAAACATCCTTTTGATACCAAGTTTCTTCCATTTTCAGTTTAACAAGAATGAATTTATGTTAGATAAGGCACATTAATCAAAGAAAAAGAAGGGGTGTTTAAAATGTGTGATTTATTAGCAGACGTCTCCAAAATCGTATGCCTAAATCCACGCGTCATCACTTTTTAACCAAAAAAGAAATTTGCTCATATGAACATGAGTTTATAGTCATTCTCATCTCTTTTTTACCTTCTTTTTGGACAACACGATTTTGGAGACCCCTGTTTATTAGAATTGTAAACAAATACCACATTATGTTTTAATAATCAAATACATCATTTGCAAAAACGAACCTCTTTCTTAAAAAGTAACACAGTCGAAATTCAAAACGAAACAGTTCTCAAAACAAAGACAAACTTTGACAAAACGATAATTAATTTTCCGCCACATTTCAAAAAAATAAATACCTGTCAACGATGGGAAGAACGTTTTCTTTCAAAATTGCAAAAATTCGATCTTTCAGAGAGTTGATTGAAAGTGGTAAAAGCAAAAGGGAAGCAGCAACTATTTGGAAATAAAATTACCACTCTATTGAGATGGGACAAACAATATGATGTGTTTATTGTGCAAGCGAATAAAAATATAAGAAACAATTTGAATGGGCAGGGGAGGAAACCAAAAAATGTTGAACACTACGAAAAGTTGGCACGTTTTGTCAAAAAAAAAGAGCCAAAAAAGAAAATCGTTACAACCCAAATTATTGATGCAATACTTTTGCTCAAAAGTTGTTTCCAAATCACACACCTTCACTTTTGTCAAAAAACCAAGTGGTTATACACATTTTTGAAAAAGAAACATCTGTCCATAGAAAGAATCACCAACAGGATCATACAAACGAGAAAGGAAACCAAAGTCGACAAGAGAGAGGAAACGATTAACCACCTCAACACAATGAGTGAAGTGTGTCAATATTTTGAAGATGACGCAATAATAAACATGGATGAAACGGCTATAAAGTTGACAGATGCAGGAAACTACACGATAACGGAAAGTGGAGAACAACATGTTTCCGCGCTTCTTCTCGGAAACGAGAAGGAAACAATTTCTTTTGTGGCAGCAGTGTCAAAGTCCGGAAACGTGTTGAAACCAATGATCATCCTAGGGAAATTGAAAAAAGTGCCGAAAAGTCTTGAATGTGATGCAATAGTGGAAGTCAATGAAAGTGGGAAAATGAACGAGGAGCTGATGGTATCTTGGAATGAAAAATGTCTTCGTCCTTATATGGAAGAGCACCATATTGAAATGGTAGCTCTAATATGTGATGGTTATGGATCCCATCTCACGGAACACGTTGTTAAGAGCCTGGCTGAAGTCGCTGACATATTTATACTCCCTTCCAACTCCACGGGTTTCTGTCAGCCGTTGGATTATGGTATATTTGGATGGTTTAAAACACAATCAAAGGAAGAGTATTTGAGATGGTACAATTTAAATAGCAATCGTGCAGGTCGTGTGACCCGTGGAGAAAAAAGGAAGGAGTGTATTATGAGATCTCTTCAGATCTATAACAGAATTCCAACAGAAATCAAAAACTCTGTTGTTGAGTCTTTTTTCAGGTGTGGGATTTGTGCTGGTACGTTAGAGGAGAAAAGGGTTAATATGAATCCGGCTTTGGAAAAAGTTGTTTTTTCTTCCATTGAGGAATGAAAAATGTGGTTTTATCAATTCCAAATGAATATTTGAATTAATTGTTTGTTTTATTTTTTATAAATTGTTTTCACTTTTGGTTAGTTTTTTAAAACTGCACTTTTGGGTTTTTTATTTGTTTTTGCGTTAAAAACATGATAATTGAACCATTAATTTATGGAAGATTTAAAAAAATGAACCATTTATTTCCGGATTTACGGTATTGTTCTTTTTCTCCAAAAAACAGCAAGTGTTATGGTGTTCGGAATTATTGGTAAAAATTTTAAAAGTTCTTTGATAAGATACAAAGGAAAAATTGGAGGAAAAGAGTATGTCAATCTTTGGAAAGAAAATAATTTATCGATTCTATTGAAAAAATGGAGGAAAAAAATTTGAATTTATACAAGATGGAGCACCTCCTCATAGAGCAAAAAGTACTTTGAATTTTTTGGCAAATAATGGGGTTAAAATAATTAAAGGATGGCCAGGGAATAGTCTGGACTTGAATCCCATTGAAAATATGTGAAGAATAATGAAAAGGAAAATGAAAATATCCCCAATGATGTCATCACATGCAGTGTATACAGAAGCGGTTCGTGCATGGAAATCAATACCAATGACAACAGTTAATAATCTTGTTAATTTTTTGGCAAAAGACTGATACAATGCCAAGATAACAATTATTTATCTATAAAAATAAAAATTCAGATAATTAATTATTTTTGTTTATTTATAAATGTTTAATTATTTTGTGTAAATATTGAATATTTTTTGTGTAATTTTAATTCTTAAAATAATTATTTTAATTTTAAATAGCAAAATAAATCGGAATGGTTTTTATTCCGATTTTCGGAATTAAGTATATGACAAATTTTAAAACAATCGTAATTATAAATTAAAAATTTTTCAAAGAACATCGTAGTATAAAAAACATTGTACACATTTGAAAAGTTATCAAATAAGATCGAAACATCATTACACAGATTATAATAAAATATCAAATATTTTAAATATCGTGTTTCTATTTTTTTGCAACGTTGTGATTTAATCAAAAAATATTTTAAGAGATGTTCAAATGTTAAAAAAAGTAAGTTGTTTATAAAGTTTTGTGTTATATATAAGTCTTAAATAATATGATTTTTATCAAATAATTTTTATTTCAATGTTATTCTTTGACATTATAATATGAACAAATATATAACATTGATACAAACAATGAAACAATACACAATTAATAATTACATACATAATAATGTAATTATTATGATATTCAGTAATGTATTAGACAACATTAAAGATAAATAACATCTAAGTGACTAATTGGGTATTAATTTGATTATCTTTGACTTTTTTCAAATGTTACTTAATCGTACACAGTTTACAATATTTTAAAAATACCATGTTATTTACTAAAAATTAAAATGTAATGTAATCATAATAAAAACAAGAAAGAATGTTAATAATTAAACATACACGGAAATGAAAATAAATCACTTATCATTATTCGAAAAGTTATATATAAAATAATATTATAAATAAATATTATTCAAATTTTTGTATATTGTATTGAAAAAGTTTTCATATTGTTATTAAAATATTTTGTTTTAAACAGTACATATAATTATTTAACTATCAAATATATTTATATATAGTCACCCATTTAAAGGTATAAATTTCAGACAAATGATCTAAAGAAACCATATTACAATTTTTAAAACTATGATTTTAAATTGTGTTTCAATTCGACATTTGTTTCTTTTTATTGCAGATATTTCGAAATAAACTAAAATTTTACTTAATTATAATACTTTGTCAAAATAGATCAAAAGTGAACTGAAAATCAAATTTAATGGAAAATGCTGTACATGTGCATTTATTTGGACAATACCAAAAAGACCAAACCTGCAACAGCGATGGTTTTCGACAATTCAACCAATTCTTTGGATGTATCAGATTCATTGTGTTGCTCGCCGAAAACAACACAATTTTTGTTAGCTTAACTCTATTTGCTTTTCATTTCCATCAAGTTATTGATTTGGGGATATTTGGTGGGCTTAATAAAATATCCATTTTTTAAGCGAAAGACAGTTTTGTAAATTTGCTTTTTCAAAAAGAAGTCGAGAAGGAAGATATGAATGGTAATTTGTTTTGGAAAGAAAAAACCATTTTCACAATATTGAATTCGGAAATAGATTTAAATAGTTGATGATATTGGTGACTTTTTTTATTTGTGGTAACAACACCTCCTTTTAAAATATTGCTTTTAAACAAGCTATTATAATAAATTGGATTGACAATATACCCCAAAGTGTCGTGTATTTATTAAACATTGTATAGTTATTGAAACACCTCAATACAATTTATTCCAAAACGATTTCCGTTGCCTCAAAAAAAGATCGACAGCATTACTTTTTTCCAAATTGAATTAAAAAAGGAAGAAAAAAGAACATTAAAAACCAAAAAAGAAAAAGGAAAAACCTGTTTTAAAATTGCTGTTGTTTTTTAAATCAATTAAAAAGCTTGACAAAAATTGATTCAATGTGTTTTTATTTTTTTGTTTTTTCTTTTTTAATGTTATTTGTGTTATTTTTACTGTTTTTTACAATTATAGTATAAAATAATAAATTATAGTTTCTTTATACCATTTGTTGTGTTTTTATTGCTTTTAGCAGGTGACTATAATTAAAAAAAGTCGTTAAAAAGACAAAATCTGTTTTTATTCTATTTTGAATTTGCATTTTGTTGTGTTATTTTGTTGCTAGTGTATTATATCGATTCATAATTATTTATATTTTAAAAAATTAATTCTTTTTTGTTATCACAATTTCTAAATGAAAACCACCTCTAAATATTTTTTTAAAGTTGAACGATGAAAATTAATTTATTTGGCGTTAATATATTTCGACACTCAAACATTATGTGGTACTTTAACAAAGTTTTTATTCATCAATTATTTTTTCGAAATAAAATAAAAAAAATATAACGTTTTATATTAAAAAACAATTAATTTATAGATTATTCTATTTCAAATGAATTAATTGTACAAAAAAATTATTACACAATCATGGTTAATTTAAATATACATATATTTACTTGGTGTGAAAAATACACAAAAATTATATAATTTAAACAGTTTTCATTTATTAAAATACATGTTTTATCAAATATTGTTTTAAAATAAAAACTAACACAAAAAAACAATATTTTATTTATGAATTAGTAATGTTTATAATTAGTTGTGTGTTATTATTTGTTTGTGTTATTAAACAAATTCGAATGTGCTGATTATAAAATACAAATAATGTGAAATTTTATAATACATGTTTGATAATAAACAAACTTGATGTTTTATAAATACCAAAAAACAATTTTTTTATTAAATATTTAAAATTTTAATAATTTTTATAAATGTCCGTATTGGCTTACATTTAAAGCAACCAACTAATCAAATAAAAGCCAATTATTTTTGTGTTATTTTTTTAAAAAATGGGTAGTTTTATTTAAAAAAATATTTAATGTTTTTTATACAAAAATGAGAAAAAAATAAAATGGTATATAAAGAATCAAATTAATCTATTTATCACATGTTCGTATTCCTTTTCCTTTTCTTTTCACTTACGATTGCTGCAGACACATATGCAAAAGATGATTATTTTGGATACTTCGTTATTTACATTGTTGACAAATGTTATGTTACTGGTATAACTGAAGCTGCTAAAAAATACAAGAAAGTTTCCAAAGATTCTGCTTCTAAATTTCAATTGTACTATGCTGCAACATGTTCAGATAAAGCTTCTGATTGGATTATTGATACAGAAAGTCACAGTTTTGATATAGATACATATTATTCTACAATATGAAGGATATTGGATTTTACTATTTTAAAAAAGTTGTTTATTCTGGTGCCAGTTCTTGCACAGATGATACTTTAGCATTACCGGTTTATTACTATGATACCTTAAGTTGTTTCCAACAGGGAAGTCAATTTCCCATTGTCAATTTTGATGGCAAAAATGTTTACTTTTCTTACTACACAGACACAACATGCAAAACTTTGTCAACTGACACATCAGTATATGCTCCTGTTGACACATGCGTTGATTCTGGCAAAACCGATAAAGTTCAATACACCGCTGCAAATCTTTATAAACGTGATGTTGGTGATGATTTTGAAATTTATGTAGAAGGCAGATGCTACGTGGATTCAATCGCCACAGATAGTACTAAATATGTTGTTGTACATTCAGATGGATTGATGTATCAAGATGCAAACTGCGTATATGCTGAAAGTTCTAAAGTAGCTGCAACTGGAGACGAATATAAGGTTATCAAGGTTTTATCACTACCAGAATATTACTATGCCGATCGAAATTATGCAAAAATAGATTGCAACGATCCTCTCAAGCTTGATTATTACATTATGGCCGACTACTACCATACAAGTTTGGCAACTTGCAATGAAAAAAATTCATTGAACTTTACAACCACAAAAAAATCGATTACTTTTAACTATTATGACTCAAAGTGTGAAACACCCGATTCTGTTGAACCAAAGTCGGAACAAAAATATGCTGTTTGCACTAAAAATAAAGATTCAAATAATGTCTTTTATTTCTATGGAAAAAATTCTGCTGTTGTCATTCCAGATAAAGATAACAGTATTGAAGTGATTATTTCAATTGTTGCAATAATTCTTATGGCACTTTTTTGAAAGAAATAACTCAATTATGGTTTTTTGTTTGTT